CCGCAGGGCAGAGGCGGAGATGAAGCCCCCATTGCAGGACATAAACCATTTCTTCACAAATCTCTTTAAACACTTAACATCAACCTACATATTTAGAAAAATGTTTAAAAATGTACCAAATACATACAAAATACACACGATATACATAATATATACACATAATATATACATAATACTATATGCATACATAATATATAAACACACATAATACACACATACATAAAACATACAAATATATAAAACAAAAATGCATGCATAATATACATAACACATACATAACACACACAAAGTACATAAATAATACATCATACACACATAAAACATACCTAAATACATAAACCATACAAAATACATGCATGACCCCTATCTCCTACGGCCTTTTTAGATGTTTCTCCTCAGCACCTTTATCTCGACATGTTCCAAACCAAGCCTAGTATTTCCCCCCATGCACAAAGCCTGCCTTCTAGGTTCCCAGGTCCGCATGTATCTCACGTGGTCAGCCAAGCCCAGATGCAGCAGGCCCCATGCTCCTCTCCCTCACCTCATGGTCCAGTCACTCAACAGGTCACAGAAAGCTCGCCTGTGATAATCTCGAATTCATCCATTCTCTCTCCTCTCCACAGCCCTGCTAGGCCTTCACCGTCTCTCGTTTGGATCGTAAAGAAACCTCCTCACCAGATTCTCTGCCACCTGCCTGCCCCTGCCCCCCAGTCCCTCCTCACAGCTGCCAGAGTTATCCTGGGGAAGCCGTTATCTGACCAAACAATCCACTGACTTTGGTGACTCTGACCTCGGTGACTGTTTCAATAGCCACTTTCTCAGTATCTGTGACTGCAGACCAAGCAGTGCCGTGGGCACCGTGAATGCAAAGATGAGAAGGCACAGACTCAGTGGGCTCCTGGAGAGTGGCCACAGCAGTCGCCGTGTGGTACAGCGCCAGACACGCAGCCACGGTGCACACGGGCACCGAGCAGCACAGAGCACTGGGTGCCGCCTGTTCCAGGGGCTTCGGGGGGAGACGTGCTTGAGCTTGGGGTGGGCCCACCAAGTACAAGGAACAGCGTATGCAAAGTGCACAAGGACAGCGCGCTCTCCGGGCCTGCTTGTCGCAGTTATTTTCACCGTGGGGCAGGCTGACATCAAGACCTGAGACAGAGGCACTGGGATGAGAACGGATCCTGGGCGTGGGGCTGGTGGTTTGGGGTGAGGTGGGAGAGCAGGGAAGTCCAGGGACGAGAATGAGGGTGAGAGGGTGACATTAGGTGGAAATATCCTAGTGCAGGTCCCCGTTCAGGGAAGAAGTGGGGACCAAAGATAAAGGGTTGTGAAGCCATGAGAACAGCCTAAGTCTTCCAGGGCAAGGCCACGGGGCAGAGGTCTCGCCGACTCCGCTGTAACCAACGCACTGAAGAGAAAAAAGACAAGGTCTTCAAAAGTGCGAGAAAACCCAGAGCTGACCACGTCAGAGAAGCCAAAAGAAGACAATGATTCAGAAAGAGCGAGATGCGCTCCGCGCGTGCGTCCTGTCTCAGCGCCACCTGAGGGTAAGCGCCCTCCTCTGTTTGGAAGAGCACGTGTGTAGCGCCAGGGCCACAGAACGACACCGCTGTCCTTCCAGGAGCGCAGACGCTCCCTGAGCTACCCCAGCAAGCCCAGACATTTTTTTACCCGGGACTCTGTGGTCCGGGCCGACTCCACGCCCTACAAGGCGCCCTTTCCTGCGGCCGTCAGCTGGGGCCCTGCTGTCTTCGGATGCAAACGCTGGGCTCGTGGGCGTGGTTTCTCTTCTGTTGGCCAGGGCGCAGGCGCCCTCCCTGAAAAAGGCTACGGCACAGGCGGTCGACCTTGGAGCCCTCAGCCGAGGCCACTGCTGCCCCACCCACCCCCCTCCCTGGGACAAGCAGCACCTCGCCCCCTGGAGGCCCGATGCTCACAGGGCTGCGAGCAGAGGAGAAATACAGCGCTACGTTAACAGGAAAGTGTTCTCTTTTCTACAGTTCAAGGAATGTTTGGAATCTAACCTTTCGGCACCCATTAAAAACTTCCAACTCCATCATCCTAGACTCCAGCGCATGGGTTGCTCGTGTGGAAGGCAGCCTGGTTGCTCCGCTGTGGGAGGGCCGCACCCCTAGCAGGTGGTGCTTTCCACCAGCAGTTCCGCCTGGGGGGCGCATCTTACAGACCTAAACCCACCAGCTAATAAGAATATGTATATACGGATGTTCAGTGGGACCCTGAGGAGGAAAAATAAAACTGGAAACAACGTGAGTGCTAGCTGACTGCGTGTGGTTAAGCGTGTGGCACAGGCACACCGTGGCACGTCCTGCCCTTGGAGACATCCCGCATCGGTGTCCTCGCGCCTCCTCTCGGGCCAGCGTGCTCCAGCTGTGGCCGCGGCAGCCAGCTGCCGGGAGTGTAACCCACAGCCCTTCCTTCACGGCACTGTGGTTCCTGCTCTGTGCCCAGAGTCTGCCTTCAACACCTGGGACACTGGTAGGAAGTCTCAGCCAGCCTAGCACAGAGGCAAACCGGGAACTGAAAAGGGCCTGAGCACATCCTGACCACCGGGGAGTGAGTGGGACCCAGGATGGAAGTGAGGCTCTTCTAAGATGTATTCCGTCTACTCCCCAGGGCCCCGGCTTCCCGAGGTTCCACCAGCTTGATCACGACACTGACGGCACCTTAGAGGAGCTGCTGTCTCCACCAGAACAGAAGTACGAGCTCCCCTTGCAAGGTCTAATGCTTTCTATACTTTGGAAAAGGACTCTAAAAAAGCTAGTAGGTAGCAGGCACACAATAACAGCTGACTGCACGCAACAGGGAGCGCATCTTAAATTCTTTGTTATGAATATTTTAATGAACAGTATCAATAAAAGCCTCTTACCCTTTGGCCTATTTGGGATGCTAAGAATTCAGGTAGTAATAATAGCTCCTCGAGGACAGAGGAAACTCAAAATAACTTATTTTTCAAGAGCATTAAAGGCAAAGCTCCTCCTGGGAGATTGTATAAGTCATTTCCAAATAGAAATAATTACCAAACTCTCTGAAAGCATGGGTGCATTGTTAGTTTTGATAAAAATAGATTTCAGCTCCATCTGAGAAAAGTACAATGAACAGACTTATAGAAGCAGAATGTCTGCCCAAGAAAGGCCCGAGCTCTACAGAGCAACTCTAATGCTCTAATGCAGCCAGCTGGACACCCTTGAGGGCCATGCTAAGGAAGGTCACACGGCTAAATTCAGGACTTGGCTGTCCTCTCATCCACCCATCCCTCGGGCTCATCTAGAAAGCTGAGTGTGACCGGAGCAGGACACTTGCCCTTTCGAGCCTTACTTTGCTCTTCTATAAAATGGGTACAATGCCCAGCCGGGTGTGGCTCAGCAGTTGAGTGTCGACCTAGGATCCAGGTGATTGGGGTTCGATTCCTGGTCAGGGCACATGCCCGGGTTGCTGGCTCGATCCCAATCGGGCATGAAGGAGGCAGCCGAGCAATGACTCTCTCATCATTGATGTTTCTCTCCCTCTCTCTCCCTCTCCCTTCCTCTCTCTGAAATCAATAAAGATATATTTTAAAAAATAAAATAATAAAATAAAATAAAATAAAATAAAATAAAATAAAATAAAATAAAATAAAATGGACACAATGGCCGGCTGCTTGCAGGGGTCCTGGGGCGAGTAAGGGACTGAGCAAGATGTGTGCTGAGCACAGAGCCTGGACACACTATGTGCCCAGCTGTCAGTTATTGTCATCCTGACACAATGCATCACAGGGGAAAGAAGCAAAATGCTTTCAAAGAAGTGATGAGAATTGTTGAGACAGATGTTTCCAGAGCCAGGGGCACTCCAGAGTTTGCCTGGCAGGACCCAGAGCGGCCGCGCAGCTGAGAACACGAGGTGAGAGAGGAGCTGCCACGGGAGCCCCTGACATCCCTTTCGAGGTCACTTCCTTGCCAGTCAAATCCACTCTGTACCATAAAGCGGAAGACGGGGCACGTCAGGAGCAGCCGGCTGTCCCTCCAGTGTTTGTTCATTATGAATCACTTTATTTAATGTGCACGAGTTATAAACCCAGATCTCTACAGAATGGAGCCACCATGTCACAGAATGTAGTTTTTAGTTACACGAAGACCCATAAGGACCTCACTGGAATGTGGTTACACTATCGTGTGCCCTGGTCTCTGAGGGGGCGCCCTGGGGACACCCGATAGGACCTGTGGTCCCAGAACCACACCGTTTGTGAATGGAAGGTTATTACAGAAGGTCTCATCCAATCCCCCATTTCATAGCTAAGGAAACTAGGGCACTGAGAAACTGCCTAGAAATGTTCCTCAGTGTGCATGTGAGAACTGCAATTAAAGCGGCGGCCCCCGAGGAGTGCTCGCTCGGCACACCCGCGGAGCGGCTCGGCAGGACAAGCGGAGACGAGGCAGGGGCCTGAGAAGGACGCAACAGTTCTAAGCAGACACATGCGGTTTTCTCTTAAACAGACGCTGACCGCGGGGCCTGTTTCCTCACCGCCCCCACTTGCTCGGGCCTGGCCGCCGGCTCGGACGCCCAGGCATTCTTGGTGACGGCAAACAGCACACGAGCACAGACCGCCCTGCGCCGGGCTGAGCCGCGGGTGTAACCGACAGCGGCCCGCTCCGGGCTCCCCGGCCACCGCGCCGGCTGCCTGTGCCCGGCCTGGCCCAAGGTTAGAAGCTGCGGCGCGAAAGCCTTTTCTGCACGTCTCTGTGACATCGTCGATACGCATGATGAGCTTCATTGATTACTAGGACGTACCAGGCACTGCTCTAACGACAAACCGTAAGAAATAGGTGCATTAGGGGCCCTTTCATGGAGGTGAGAAACCAGACAGAATGAAGCAGGTGCCCCAAGTCGGGCGCGAGCCCTCAGCCCCGCACGCTCCACCACCGGCCATCTCCGAACGCTCAGCCTCAGAAAACCTTGAGATATCATTCGTTCCGCTTCACCAGCGATCAAACGGGTCCACACAGCTTAAGCCGAAAGGTTACGGACCAGGGGAGCTTGTGGGAGACCAGGACCACAGCCCAGCCCCCTGGCTCCAGGCCCACAGGCCACGCAGAGGACCCTGGAGTCTGACCTCGGCCGCACTGTCCCCTGCTGACGCCTGCACTTGGGGACTGCCTCATGCTTTCTGTCACGCTGGCTGAGGGACAGACCATCTGGAGATGCGTCCACACTGATGACCGTCACTTCTGTGAACCCTCCCGTCTTGCTCCGGTAAGCAGGATCTCAGTCGTGTTCATCACCTTTGGACAGCACACACTGGATGCTGTCCACGCTGTGCTGGGAGCCCAGCCACGGGCCAGGTTCATTTCCTCTTCCCGTGATTCCGGGGCACTGAGGACCTGAGCCCCTCTGCTCCACACTTTCCAAGTCTCTACAACCATGGCACATTCTCAATCTATCAGTACTTTTATTTTAAATTATATATGTATTTATGTGTGTGTTTGTGTGTGTGTATGCATTGAGGTATATAAATTATATTTTATTTTATAGATTTCAATAAATAAGGAAACCTAAAAAACTGTAACCAAACTGCAGGGTATCCCAAAAAATGTATACACACTTTAACAACTGATGGCTCAATTTTGAAAATGAAATGCATTTTAATAAACACTGTCTTTATAATTACTCAGTGTGTGCATACATTTTGGGGGGACACCCTATATATTCAGTGATGTATTTAGTGATGCAACACACTTGGTCTTAGAAGCCCCTGTTGACCTGCCTCCCATAGGTCTGCACACAGTCAACTGCTCCTGGATGAGACTCGTCCTGTCAAATGAGTGCCCAGCAGCATCCTCAATAGCACGATGTTTTATCTTTAAGTCATTACATTGTATTTTGAATCCGCTAAGTGAAATTCAGCAAGGCAATCCCACTGTAGCAGTTTTAGTCAGGGCTGACTTAAAAATGCATTAATTGTTCACATCAGTTCCATTGCTAATGGGCCAGGCGCCCCTGAAAACAGCAGACACCTCTGGTTGCTCTTGGGACTATTATAAAGAGCAGTCTGTCAAGAATTTGGCCCAGCAGATCCAAAATGCCTTCTAAACTACTTACCCTATGATTTTCACACACATTTGTGGAACAGAGTGAGTGGTTGTCATACTATTAAAGATGTCTACGAAAAAGTAAGTGCTGTCGAGAGTGGGAGAGAGGAGCCACAGACCCTCTGTGATTTGTTGTTTATCTCTATGAGCTTAATTTTATTCTGCATTATCTCCCCCGCGCAGGCCTCGGCTCAGGAAAAAGCATTGCTTTGAGCATTGGTGACTCATCTTCTATGGGAACAGTTTGAAAACAGTCCCCCCGATGCCGATTCTAAGAGTGCTAACTGCGGAGATATCTTGCCCACTGGATGTCATGAGCGCCTGCAGCTCTGCGGAACGACTTCTCTCAGATCCTGAGAGTCCCTGAAGTCATGTTTTGCTCAAGTCATAACTGTCAAGACGGAGCGGCAGCGGCCTGTTCGTCCTACAGACACCTGCTGGCAGAGCTGCAGGCCCATGAGCTAAGGAGCTCTCCTCTGGACCAAAGCGGCTTCTCCGAGGAGAATTCATGACATTTATAACCACTTTCAATATTTTCACTGAATGCCATTTTCAGTCATACATTCGGTAAAAGACTTTAAACCTGGAGAGGCAGGAATGTTCTGAGAATGTGAGAGATACGTACTAGTTAGGCCCATTTTTCCTCAGATCTTAAAGGGAAGGACTGTCGTTTCCGGCAACTTTGTAAACTCCTGCGGCTCTCATCATTGGGGTACGAACAAAAAATATGTAGTGTGGTATTTACACGACAACTAAAGGTTAAAAGGGGCCCATGTCCAGGGCCAACGTTGCCCCGAGTAGATTCAGGAATCTGTTTCTGTCCAAAATAGTCCCTGCTGGGCCACTTTCCACATGGGCCAGGCCTAGGGTCCGAGGGCCTGTGTCCTGAGCCTGGAAGCAGCAGCAAGGGGTGGGAACAACCTGTGCTTTGGAGCCAGACCATCGACGCGACGCCTGGAGACTGGTCCTTCTCTTCCCGTGCACGGGTGACGCTGGCCAAGTTACCGCTCTCTCTGAGCCTTGGGCTGCTCCAGCATAGCCGCGTCCCCTGTAAGCCTGAGCCCACCTCATAAAGAACCAACTCTGTTACTTTCTCGCTCCTAGTTTTGCCCACCAGACGCCAGAATCCTGCCTGTAGTAGCCAGATCTGGGTCACCACATTTAGGAATCTGTATTAAAAAGTATCTATAAGTTATTTCATTGTGAATATAATGAAAACGGCAGCCCGGCCGGGTGTGGCTCAGCGGTTGAGCATCGACCTAGGATCCAGGCGATCGGGGTTCGATTCCCGGTCAGGGCACATGCCCGGGTTGCGGGCTCGATCCCCAGTTGGGGGCGTGCAGGAGGCAGCCGACCAATGACTCTCTCATCATTGATGTTTCTCTCTCTCTCTCCCTCTCCTTTCCTCTCTCTGAAATCAATAAAGATATATTTAAAAAGAACACACACACACACACAAAAAAAAATGGCAAAGATGTTATGTGATTAACTGAACTCACTCTACGAGAAATGCAGCAAGCTTTCCGGGCAGCCTTATCACAATACGCATGCACGTTCTCTGAAAGGCTGGGCGATTTTTCTTAACTCTGGTTGCTGGCTGTGTTCTGTGTCTCTTTGTCCCCTGTGTCTTGCTGTTTTGTCAAATTGGGTCTGGGGTTTCTGTTTCTTTCAGGCTCTTACGAATAGGTTTTAATTATGCTTATGTGCTTGCCCAAAACACAGTCTTCTAGTATTGGTCTTCCTGCCTGCTGACAAATCTTTCTACTGCTGCTGCACGCAGGCCCTGCGCCTGCTCATTTCCTGTGGCAGCTGCAGAAGGGTTTGCTCTCGTCATACACGGCCTGACACTCGCCATGAGAGGTGAGACCTGCTCTTTGGGACAAGACCAGGTCTTCCGCCCTGATCGCCGGGCTCTCTCTGCAGGATCGTGTTCTCCGCGCTTCGGGAACTGCACGCGGCTTTAGGAGCCTTTGGGAGGGGAGTCATTTCCTGTTTAGAGAGTAAAATGAAATCGGGCCCAGGTGCTCAGCCACATTACACTTTCAATTAAACACTCCCAGCAACAGCAGCTCAGTCATTTCTATTTAAGTGTTCCAGGCTCACTGTCTCCTGGTGGTCATGAAAAGTTACACAGCAAAATCCTGGTGAAGTAATATTTTTCTGTAAGTGCAAAGCTTTTAACCCCGGTTGTTGGAACCAGAAGGGCATTTACTGGCAGGTGACAGGAAACAGACAACTAGGTAATGGATTCTGAGCAATCTGAGGGTGGAGAGGAGGGCAGGGGCTGGGGGTGCGCAGGAAGGAGCTGCCTAGAGAAGGGTGTTCAGAATTGAACTGGAAACGATTCTTTTGAAAACCAGCCTAGAAAGAAGCTGCTTTATTTTGTTTTATTTTTTAATCTTCATTCGAGGGTAATTTTCCCATTGCTTTTGAGAGAGAGTGGAAGGGAGCGAGAGGGAGAGAAGGAGAGAGACATCTACGTGAGACACCTCAGTCCACTGCCTCCCGCACGCCCCGGACGGGGCTGAGGATCGGGTCTGCGGCCGGCGCACCTGCCCTGGGCCGGAACTGAACCCGGGCCCCTCAGCCTGCGGTCAGGCTGGCGCTCTAACCACAGGCCCAGACCGGCCAGGGCAACACTTCATTTTTTCAATGTCATTTTAGAGTTAGAACATAGTGAGAGTGACTCTATAAAATCAGTGGATAATTCTCTACCTGTTCCTGTAATACTTTTCCCTTATTCCTTCAAGAAGGATTTTTGGAAAGTTTTAAGACCACCTAAATTATGATTAATTGTGGGTCTAATCTAGATGAGGAGGAAAATGACCAATTAAGATTCTTCCAGAAGGAAAAGTAGTCTGTGACCCAATTAGCATTCCGGAGAGTGGAGCCTCCAGAGCAGGAAGACTTTGGAGAACCTCATGAGACCACAGAGAGGCCAGTGACAGGGAGTCAACTTCAGAGACAGAAAACGGTCTATATGTGGAAAATATTTAATGTCTTCTGCTGCATCCTAGACGGGCTTGGACTGACAGGGTGCCGTGTCAGACGGCCGCGCGCTCCTGTCGCCCAGCACTGGCCCACACCGCTTCTGGAACCAACCCCGAGCACGTATGTGTGTGGTTTGTGCCTTTGCTCGTGCTGGGGACCTGGCCACCTTCCTAAATAGCTCTCATGCTTTGAGGCTCAGCTTAAACACCGTGCCCATGGTCTGAACCAAGCGCCCTCCCTGCCCTGCCTGTCCCTGGGCAGCCCCGTGCTTTTTGCTGTGGGCAAGCTTGTCTCCAACCCCAGCTTGCAAAAGTCCTGCGCTCGTTTTCCTATGGACCCACATCGCTAGCGAGGAGGGGCCTCATCGCTAGTAAGGATTCAGCATTATTTAATTCAGAGCAAGTAGAAGAGGCAGCCTGAAATATCAGATAGATTTAAATATCTGTCCGGCACTAAAGTACTTGGTTAGTTCAGGTTCCTCTTTCTCTTGAATTCTAGGGCCAATAATCACAGCCTGCATCCCAGTGGGTGTGCTGGGAGGAGACGCATGTGCCCACACAGGACGGGCGCAGAGCTTAGCCAGAGGAGGGACCTCATCTCCAGGGAATGAACTCAGTCTGACCACATTGCGCGTCAGTTTCCTCCCACGGCTGTGGACACTGTCCTTCACCTCTCGGTGACAACTTTACAAAGGCTGCACATTCTCAGACACCCTCCCACGAGGAAGGGAAGTCTGATTCCCACACCTCCCACTGGGCCCTGGTTGTCCTTGTGACCATCATAACTAATGGAGCCCACGGAACGGACCCCATGTGAACGGAAGGCCACAGAGCTTCCACATGGCCTTCAGGAATGCGCACTCAGGCGCTTTTTCTCAAACTCTGCCCTCAGCCTGCGAAAGCCAAAGCCACCTGGAGAGGTCACGTGCAGATGCCCCCATGGACAGGCCCACCGGCCTCTGCAGGCCTTCAGGCGCCAGGCGTGGGTGTGAGGAAGCACCAGGCAGCAGCAGGCCCGCGTCCCCATGCCCCCAGCCACTGTGGAGCGGAGAAAGCCAGCCCCGTGCTGCCTTTCTGATCTCCTGGCCCATAGAATCCGTGAGCACAATTAAACACTTGTTTTACAGCACTGAGTCTGGGGGTGGGTTATCACACAGAAGTAAATCACTGAAAAACTTCTCACATATAACCCTTGAATTTTCCCCTGACCATCCCTTAGCTGAGGAGCCAGGGCACGCCAGGTGGCAAGGAGGCAAAAACAGCACAGTAATCTCCATGGTTTTAAACAACAAAGGCTCAGCCACCACTCACAGTGTGTGCCCACTGTGGTGCACTGGGAGCCCCTCTGCTAGGTCCCCATGCTGATGGGCATTGCGGCTCCCTGGGCCGGGAGGCAGATGCAGCTCTGGAGGGCCTTGTACCAGAGGTTAAACTTAGTCCGGGAATGACACATGGCACTTCTGCTCCCAGCTCACTGGCCAGACTAGTGTCCTGGCTCCTCCCACTTACACAGGAGCAGGCTGCCAGACCCGGCTGCATTTGGGGGAAGAGAGCTGGAAACAGCTGGGGAGCAGCACCAATGACCGCCTGCCAGCCTTCGGGCACCGCCCGCCATGCCCTGCACGCAGCGCCCCTCCTCTCTTCCCAGGGCCTGTCCGTGCTGCTCGCCTGCGGGGCAGAAGCTTCTGCAATGTGGCCGCTCCACCAGTGGAGCAGATCTGCCACCGACTGTCCTGCCCACACAGTGTCCGCGTGGGAGCCGCTGCTGTGGTGGTTTCCACGACAACCAAGACTACCGAGGGCTCTTGCTAAACCTCTAATCATGGCCGTTTTGGTTTGTTTTCCTTTCCCTTTCTGTCCTTTCTTTATCAGAGCCAAAATCAGTCGGGTAGGGAGCTCATCACCCCTCTTTCACCTCAAAGGGGAGGTGCGGCCAGGACTCACACCTGTGCGCCGAAATGCTTACTCAAGCGAGGTAGCCGTGGACAGAGAGGAGGGGTGAAAGGAGGAATGGAAATTTTTTAAATGCTTTGAGAAGAAAGGACCTTGTTAAATGAGAACATGGAAAGGTTTCAAAACAGGAGAGAGTAGATAGGAAGGAACAGACCAGCAAATTCTTAAAGGTATTAAATTCAAGTCCCGGTTCTTTACTTACTCACTTTTTAACATTTTGAAAGTTCATTTCTCTCTTCCAGACAAAGATGCAGCTTACTTTTAGCCCAGCGTTAAAGACATAATCATCGCCCAACCGGGCGTGGCTCAATGGTTGAGCGTCGACCTAGGATCCAGGCGATCAGGGTTCGATTCCCGGTCAGGGCACGTGCCTGGGTTGCGGGCTTGATCCCCAGTCGGGGGTGTGCAGGAGGGAGCCGATCAATGACAACTCTCTCATCACTGATGTTTCAACTCTCTCTCTCCCTCTCCTTTCCTCTCTCTGAAATCAATAAAGATATATTTAAAAATAAATAAAGACATGATCATTTCCAAAGCCTTAGGGGCCATCTGGGACCACGTGGCTGTGAAAAGCCTTCTACGGGAGCTGCTGCTGCATCGGCCCACTCTCCCACCTCTGCCCCACGCCTGCGCCCTGCCCGCCCGCCCCGGGGGGAGGGGGGGCGCCTCCCATGGTGTGTTCCTGACAGGAAGTCACCCGCATGCCCAGAGGGCAGAGTGGAGCTTCAGAGGCTCCTTCAGTCTTGCTGGTGCAGCTGTGGGCCCGTCCTGGGGCTCCCTGGACCTGTCATCCCACAGACCGGCTCAGTTCCCGCTCATTGCTTTGAACTTCACCCTGCCTTGTGCCGACCACACCCACTAGCCCTCCTGTGCCAGCTCTACCTGTCTGCTTTACTGATGTGACAGGATTATACCACAAGGTAATAATGTCTGTATTTTCTAAGTATTGTCTCTCCTAATGCTTTGTACATAGTGTACATAGTACTGTGTGGGCATTTCCCCTACCCATGGCCCCAAGAGCCAAAGACGAACCTGTAATCTCTCCATAGTGACATTTGTTTCTCATGCTTTTTTCATTCAACACATATCTATTGGGTGGATACCTACTACATGTCAGACAGTTCCCAGTGCCTAGATATGACCGTAAGTGCAACCAGACACGGCCCAGCCCCCAGGGAACTGAGAAGGAAGCCACTGACCACTGTTTGAGACAGAACAATTTGAAGACAGTTTGAAGGCTGATTTTTTCTGC